AGAGAGCAAATATTTTGAGAATAATGAGGGCAATGAATGTACAAATGTGCTTTACACAATTGATGTATGTATGGATTGTGATAAGAATTGTATGAGCCCCTAATAAAATGGTTTTAAAAAAAGGATGGGGCAACGATGAAACAAACAAACAAAAATATCTATAAGACCTGAAGACAATCAGTTAATAAATTATGATACAGATTTATGCACAATCCTCTAAATCTAATGATGAAAAATTTGGGCAAAAAAGAAAACTCCCAAATGGACAATTCCCACGAACTCGTTCAACACGGGAACACATTTGAAGCCGGGCACAAGGCTCATTCGGCAGAACAGCAAAACAGTTAAATGGGTAGGCTCTGGTTTGTATTGATCTGAATCTTGGACAAATTACTTACCTTTTCTGAGCCTCAGTTTCCCTGCGTGCAAAATGGTGAAAATACTGCCCACCTCCAAGGCTATTGGAGCAGCAGATGAGATGATGGCTCGGGAATGCATACCCCAGCAAGGGCTCTGTAGTGGCCATGGCCTCCTTAAAGGAATGAGCCTAGTGATGGGTGAGCAGGTTCATAGACACGTTGTTTAGTGTGGGGTGTTTTTAGGTCTGTTTGGGGAAAGGGAAGCAGGAGAGGCTGGGGTCCTTCACAATCAACCCTCTATGATCCCACCCGAGTAGCTGAGCCCCGGGAACGAGGTACACACACACCTGCCACAGGAATTGTGCACGTATCCCCTGACCCAGGGTCTGGGCTGAGAAGGTGAGTGTTGGCACCCTCAGCCCCTCCTCCTGGCTCCATGTTTTAATGTCCATGGAATGCTCTTGAGGTCAGCACCGGGTAGGACAGGCTTCAGTCTTGGGAAGAACATGGCTATCACAGAGTAAACACAGGATGTTTTGAAACCGCCAGTGCAATTGGTTGAAATATTTTGACCACTTGTCGTTTTGTCACTGTGTTGGTGGCGGCAGTTGGGGGTGGAGAGGGCGCAGCCATCGTGGGCTCTTCTGCTCTGCTGTCTCCGCTCCAGAGCTCCAAGGCATGACCCTTTCCTGATGGCTTGTTCTTTCTTTCACTCCCCAGTCCACAGTCCGATGGCATCACCGTAGAACCTCACGGCCACCGAGTCAGTACTGGCTCATAGCAACCCATGACAGGACAGGGTTGAGCTGCCCAGTGAGTTTCTGAGACTGTAGCTTTTTATGGGAGTAGAGAGAAATCCCCAGCTTTCTCCTTTGGAGTTACCGGTGGTTTCGAACTGCCGACCTTGTGGATCACAGCCCAGTGCACAGCCAATAAGCCACCAGGGCTCCATCATCCCTGTAAGTCCTATTTGAACACAGGGGCTATGAGGATCCTGACCCAGAGCCAACCCTGCTCCCTTACCTTTGCAAATCAATGGGTTGGATCCAGGAGCTTTCCTGTGGGCCATCTCTTCTTACCCTGCTTCCCGACGGACAGGTGCCCAGGCAGGCTCACTGTCTACTCTGTTCTCCGTTTAGGGAAACTGAGGCTCCACAGACACCGAGGCCTGGAAGTGTCCCAGGGCTCACAGCCTGGAGGGTCCCAGCTGGACTGTGTCCCGGCTGTCCTGCCTCTCAGGGCTGGCTTTAGCTCCAGGGTGTGCCTCAGCTTCCCCTCCACCGTGGGGGTGGCTGGACCCCTTGGATAAGGATGGGCGCTGTTGGGCTGTGTTTGCAGGTCCCCAGGCCAGTGATGGAGAATGAGGACAAGCCCGCTGACAGAGTCCGCCTGCCCAGGAGCTTTTTAGCATCCCTGGGGGACAAGAGACCCAACGTCCGGTTGGCCATCACCGTCCTGGACATTGGTCAGGGGAGTCTTTTCAAGGTGAGGGGAGGTCTGGGTGGGGTCTGGGTAACTCTGTGACCCCGAGAGCCAGACTCCTTCACTGGCATCTTTGTGGAAGAATCAGCGGGGCAGGGTTTCGGGGAGGGGGAAAGGCAGGGGAGGGTTGACCCTCCAGGGACTTTCTGAAGCAGCCTCATGCCCCCGGTCATCTCAGACCAGTCTCTGCAGAGGCCTCCCCTCAGAGGTCTGCCACCCTGCCCACCAGGGCCCTGGACTCACACGCCGAGCCTAGCTGTGTCCATGTGCTCCCCTGACCATGTCCACCACGTCCATGCAGATCTTTTGATAGCCCCGCATGTATGTGTGTGCTCACTGGGGTTGAGTTCACACGAGCAAGTGTACCCCTCCCCTGGAAACCCTGTCTGCCAGGAGTGAGTCCCAGGTGTAGGTCCAATCGCATGCCCCTCTCCTGTCCCGGAGGACTACTGTGGGCAGGCAAGCGCCCACCCAGATCCATTCACCCTGCTCCACTGCTTGGCCAGGCGCCCTCTGGTCGAGGGCGCTGAAGAACACTGGGGGCCAGCAGCTGAGAGGTGTCTGGGGTGGGCTTGCCAGACATCACTTGAACCCCTGGCTTCAATCTCT